GGAGTCCGCGAACTGTGAGGTTGTAAAGCTTGTTGACAGCTGGTGGCTGGAGGGATGCCCGGTGGAAGGGGCTCTCGGCGACAGGGGTTAAGGGGGTTCGCTCTGGCTCTCGCTCCTGGCCCCGAGGGATGATTGTGGCAGAGAGACCGGTCCCTGAGCTCCTCTTGTGTTAAAGCATCCTCCTGACCTGCAAACTCCTGCTTCCCTTCCCTCTCCCTCTCTCCAAAACGCCCTTCAAACCGATTTTTCCACCGTTCTCCCTCTGAAGTCAGGAGGTAGCTCAGAAAGGGTTGGAATGAAATTCCCCCCTTTTGGGGGGACTCCTCTTAAGAAATTTAAAAGTTTAGGCCTCCCGAACTGACATGTAAGTGATTAACATAGCAAGTGTTTCCATTCTGATGCACATTTATCATTTAATAATGACTTTTGAATCCATATAAATATCCTGTTTCTTTAGTTCTGTGATCATAATTACTTCTCAACTCCTTATAGAGCTGGACTTCGTGCTGTGCTTTGCATGAAAAATTTGGATTTGTATTCTGAAAAATCATTCCAGGCATGGTCATGTTAGAAAAAAAAATAGTAAATAAACACATAGGTCTGTGTGAAAGGCAAGACAGTGTAGGGAGAGTCTTTTTTTTTTTTTTTTTTTTTTAAAAGGCACTTCATACACCTTGGAGTTTTTTGGTGGATATGCGGATGAAATAGATGTTACTGGGAGTTATGCTTTGGAGTGGATGAAATAGAAACTTGAGGACTGGAGCTCATCACAGAGCTGTACATACATCACACAGTGAATGAAGGCAAAGTAACTTCAGGAAGCTGGAGGCTGGATTTAGCCAAACAAATGGGACCAGGTGTCTATGGGGCTTGTACTGGGGCAGCCTGTTCTGCTGTGGCTTTGCAGGAAGAACCATGCTCCCTTTGGAACTCCTTACGAAGTAAAAGGGTACTGGTGTAAGGGAAGGAACAACCATCATGCTGTGCAAGTCAGCCTGTCTGGATTTAAACTTTCATGTATAGATCAAAAAGTTATGAGGTTAAAGACTGAATCTTGCACTGTTTTTTGAACACTTGCTTTCACAGCTCTTGAGCATATTTGTAGAGAGTGCCCCACCTAACTTCCTTCAGCTTCTCCCTGCTGCAGAGTACTTCCCTTTCCTGTGTGACTTTTCCTCTCCCCATTCTGTTTCCACAGCAATCAGGACTTTATGAGTATAAAATCTTTGGTGGTCTTGCTGACTGTCCCCCAAAACTGTGTGTGGATGTCTATATGGATTTAGATTTCCGAAAACAGTGGGATCAGTATGTTAAAGGTAAGCTCATCTACACTGTTTAAAAGCAAGTTTTATGTCCACGTTGACTCTTCCCACTAAAACTTTCTTCAAAGGCATATTGAAGTTGCTGCATCCAAAGACTTTGGGCCAGATTTAAGTATATTTTGGGATAAGGTTGCGTTCTGCAAATGCACCACTGAACACTGACATGGAACAGCTAACATCTCATCACCGTATGGCTTCCTTCTGGAATGGATTCTTTCCATGTTGCTTTTCCTTGTTCTTTTCCATGTAAAGCATATAATTGGCATTCCTTGTTATGCTGGAGCACCATGCAGCTTCTAGTTGTTGTAATTCCTAGGTTAAATTTTAGTAGGTGGCCTGGCGAGAAACGGAGGTGGTGCCTTTTGTACATCTTTGCATATTGCAGTTGTGCCTGTAAGAGTGCAGTGTCTTGCACCAGTTTGATGTGAGATGGAATGTCTTTTCCTGAAAGCATTGGTTGTTCTTGTTACCTTTTACAATCAGAAATGGGTGTACTGAGAGGGTAGTTGGTGGCTTCGGCCTTTTACAGAGAAAGGAATAACTAATTTAGTTGTGTTTATTTAATTTTGTCTTGGAAAAAGGGAGTTGAACCTGGATATCCATGTGATATTAAAACATCTTAAGTCAGCAGCGACAGAGCAAGGATTCAGCTGATGTAGGCATCCAATAATCCATTTATTTAAAGATGGGGAGTTCTTCCATTTTAAGCCTGCATTTAAAATCAGATCAGGCCAATAAAACTGAAACACAATCAAAGTATTTTGCTGAATAAAGAATAGTGTTAAAAACCAAAGAATTGTAAAATGTTGTGTTTGTTAAGTCCAGGACATCTCTATGGTGACCAATTACTGGTAATGCCCTTGGCTGTACTGAGACAGAGAACTACATATTTGACTCGTGTGGGTACTTGGTCAAGCTTCAGAAGCTACATCTTCATTAGTAAGTGTTATTTGTCAAAATGGGCAATAGCTTTCTTGTAGCAAAGGCCACTTTGCCATTAATGAAACAAAAAGAACTGGAGTTGGACTCTACATTATCATATGGGATATAAAAATACTGTCTTATCTTAAGTTACTTTGGTAGTCTTTGATTTAAGTGCATTTAGGAGAATTGAATCCTTCTTAAACAAACTTTTTTTTTTTTTTTTATGCCTTCTTAGAGAAAAGAAAGGAAGCAGTTGGGGGAAGCTACACCCTTAAACTAAAATCTAGATAATGTTGCAAATCCTTGCTGACTGTGATACATTCATCCATGAATTTACACTAATTTATACTTGTGCTGGTACTTCAAGCCCAGCGTTTCACAGAAGTTAACTCTTGAAGGGCATAAGCATAATGTGAATATGGGTGGGACACGACTTACCTACTGTGTGTTTTTTCTGTGTTTGCAAAGATATAAAGGTACGTGAGTTAGCAGCTAACAGTGGGGCATCGAGTTCTTTAAAACAGTGCCTTTAATCCTTTTGAAAAAGGAAAGCTCTGCGGTTGGAAATGAAAGTGAAGCTGCTAACCCAATGCTCCAGTGACCTCTGGTGGAGAGCATAATCACGGAATAATGCCGTAGCTCGTTACAGCACTGGGAGTACTGTGCATCCAATACTGCTCCAGCCGGGAGGAGAGGAGAAGCTGGTTTTGTGGGTGAGAGCTGACTGGCAGGACATACTAACAGCAGCCTGGTTTGGGACATATTATA